ACAAGACTATGAAAATTGTTAAAAACATCACTCGATACACGTGCATTTAACCTTGATTCATTGTAATATAAGCAAAGTCGTGGAATTTAATTTTTATATGTTACAAGTATTTAAGTGAACAATAGTTAATTATCCAGTGGCTGCATATTCAATTACTTATATTGTTTATTGCAGTTTTATTATATACGATTACATGCAATTGTCGTTTTTCTGAACTATAATAAAACGGAATATTAAAGCAACCTGCATATGTTATACTGTAACAATAAATCAATGATTATTTAATAACTATAATAAAAACTTGTGAATCGTAAATAATAATGTAATTATATAAAAAAATAGCTATTACATAACACGAGAATAACAATATTCTATCAATTACAAACGGTCAAACAGTTACTTAACCTTAGGTAACCTTTAAAGGTAACGCTTGGTTACTGGTTACCTTTTACAGGTTTCTAAACATGTTAAAAGTTAATTGTTAAAACACATTAGCTTTTGTAATTGAACTAAAATTACGGATTACCCGATTGTATAACGTAAAGTTATTATCATCATCATCACCAGCTCACTATAAGTCCCCACCGAAGTGCTCGGAGCCTACCCTAAATAAGGAGTGACTACGCCATAGTCAACCATGCTGGCACATCGCGAGTTGACTTCACACATGTCTTTGAATTTCTTTGCCGATATGTGCAGGTTGCATCATCGTAAAAACGTTGGGTAAATTATGTACATATAAAAAATTCGAAAAATCGAAAATCACATTGGTACATGGCAGGATTCGAACCCAAGACCTGTAGGTTACAAGTCAAGTGCTTAAACCACTGAGCCGCCGACGCTCTCAAAGTTATACTCTCTGTTAATTTATTTCATCAAGAGCACTAGTATTCTTCACTGTGATTTGTAAACACAAGCAAATTAATCGTATACAACTAACATTATACTCTTTGTTCCAGGCAATAGATTCAGCGTGGGGTCCTTCAGGACATTACGTTAATTACGAAGAAATTCAAAACTTCAAGTAAGTATTTTCTAGAAAAATCTAGAATGAAAAATGTTTCACGTATATTTTATTCTTTAATCGTTTAAGTAATTTTAGTTCTTATTTAGATGTGTGTAAAGTTTATATTTCCATGCAGCGCGCGTCGTGAGAAACTAAGCGAGGTGCAAATTGGTCAAATGAGGCTACAGATGAACGAGAGGCAGCAGAGAGCAAAGGCTGAAGAAGAAAGGTAAACATTTTATCATACTAATATTATTAATGCGAAAGGTAATGGATGGATGTTTGTTTGGTGGTAAAATTCAGTATAGATGTAGATTATAGTGTGGAAGAACACATAGGCTACTAACGTTTGTTTTTTCTTAATTCCACGTGAACGGAATCGCGGGCCAAAGTTAGTACCAATCTAATTTTAGTAACAATCATAACTTTAATCAATATCAAGTATTTAACTACATAACTAATAATACATCAAAATCAACATTTTAGTTAGTCCTTTTATTTAATTCCTACTTTCTTTGCCTTAGTAAACCCGAAAAAATGATTTTTTACTCGTTTGTACTGACTTAAATATTTTATATTTTTACATCCGAGCCACTTGCCCTTATTATCCATTAAAGAAAATAAATTACGTAAAGTCTATTAAATTTAGAAGTGGGCGTATCGAATACGCGTATTTCCGAGCTCCAATAAAATTGTTTTGATTACGTCGAAATGGGCTCTACGATCTACGCTATAAATAGACTCTACTTTATTATACACCTCATAAATACCCTCTTGTACTGACGAGCGTTTTTTATATTTTATTAATATAATCTGTTTTATTAGATATTAAAGTTAATAAAGTTATTTTTATGTACAGTCAGCTACATAAATGTGTACACATTTATAAAACCTTAGACACTTTTCATACACATTATGACTGGGAAACACATGTGTTTATTAATAGACAAACTTTTTTTAATTCCGCGCAGACGATGTCATGAACAAAAGCTAGCTCATTGTATTTAGTTTTAATTATTTTCTTTTGTTTCGTAGCTCTTTTCATTACTTTTGAATGACCTTAACTTGAATGTTGTTTTATTAGCGGTCAGTTATAAAAACTAGAATTAATGAGTTATTCAGTATGTTTTTGTGATTGGCATCACTAACATCGACAGGATTGTACAAAAAGATGAAACGTGACCTCCGTTTGATCCTCTTGGTCACGATTGAATTCGCTTTTATTTATTCTCGAATGTATAAATAACCATCGACAATGAAAGAAGTTTTTTTAATATAATAAATCACCGAAATGTACAGGACGTTCCCCTAAGGTTACCCAATTGATGACCGCTATCAACCATGTTATTTTAAAACACTAAACATGAATTACAGTTTAAGAAAGGAAATTCTGTGGAAAGTATTGTCGAAAGCCTATCTAACAGTGAGCAGATAAAGGATGAAGATGAATCATCAGTTTTCTTAACCAGTCGTCTAAGAAAACGCAATTTTACTATCTAACCTTAAATGTGAACAATGAAAGATCTTTTGACGAACGACGGGCTTGTTAGGTACACAATCGTCTTACTTTTTATTTTATTCGACTTTTACTTTCGTAACACTAAGACCTGTTTTAGGGAGCATCACGGATGTATTATCACCGTTAAATGTGGTTATTTGTAATC